GCAGCGCCAGCCTCCACCCCACCCTGGGACCACCCGGGGAACATCGGAGGGCCGACTTCTGCCTTCCTTCCGGGGAAAGCTGGCTCTGAGCTCACCTGTGAGGCTCCCCAGCCAATGATCCCTCCATCCCAGTCCCTGCCAGACTTGTGGACTAATGATGTCAAATGTGAGAGGAGAAACGGCAGCTGAGAGAACACTCTGTTAGAGCAAACAGCTGGCGACAAACGTCTATGTAATTGGAATGCCAGAAAAAATAAATTGCATCCATTTTTATGACTAGAAGGGAATTTGATGGTGGTTTCCCACCCACCCCCCTTTTTTCCCAGCATAGATGGACTCTATGGGCTTTGAAGGCAAATGGTATTTAACTCAGTAACTTGGCCGGTAGGATTTGGAAATAGAACCTCCTCTCACACACCCACTTCCATGTGGGAGGCAGAACAGGGAAGGGTAGGGCCGCTGCACCCCTCTCTGACTGGCTAAGGGACCTTGGTCAAGTTCCTTAGGTCTCTGGACCTCAGCTTCATTATCTGTGTAATGGGACAGCATCAGTACCTCCCTCGTAGGCTTGGCAGAAAGAGTCACGAGTTGATACATCACAAGATCTAAGCACCATGCCTGACACGTAGTCCAGGCTCTAAGAACAACAGGTGTTACCGGTGTTCCCGGGACACAATGCACTGGAGACCCAGCAGTCCCTGTGAGAAACTTTCAGGTCTGTGTAAGATGCCCATGCAGGGCACAGGGAAAGTAAGAGTACCACGTTTAGTCATTCAGACAGAAAAAGGGGCTGAGGTGACCTCAGCTCAGAAAGCCCAACCAGAAAGGGCCTCAGAAATCACTTCTGGTGACAACTCGCCTCAGAGAAGTGGACACTGAGGCCCCAGTGCAGATGACTATGTACATGCAATGGGGACGGAGCCAGGGCTGTGCCCCTTGGCGGATACTCTAGGGACGCAGGAGGCCAGGCACACCAGCAGTTGGGTCCAGCCAGAGCAGGAGCTCTTAAGACTGGGCCACATGCTCCGGGGCTTGGGTACAGTCCACATAAGGCTCTGGGCTCAGCCAGTCAGTAAAGGGCCCCTCGAAACACCCTTGGCTCCCATGGACCCCCAACCCAAAACCAACATACCACCTCCGCTTGTCCCCAGCACCAAAGCTACAGAAGTCTGCACACAAGATGTTCTTCCGAAAAGGAGCAGGTCACCCTGGGACCTGCCATCACCAAGAAAAGCCTCCCCTGCCTAAAAAGCATCAGGAAAAGAGGGATGACATAAGTCTGATGGAGCTGCATCAGCTTCAGGGCTTCCTCCGGCCCAGATCACCCAACGCGTTAGGAGCAACCTCCAGTCTTGCAGAGCCAGCCTCCCTCCATCTGGCACAGCCCTGGGGGTCCCTAACCGCTGCCCAGGCTTCTGGGACAGCCCTGAACTCGGTGCATCATGACGTTTTTCTCTCTCCCCATCCCCAAATAGCCTGCAAGCAACTTGAGGGCACGGACTTACTGGCCATTTAGCACTGGCATTTAAACCATGCCTTCAGTGTTAGTAGCTGTCGTTATTACCATTATTATTATTACTCAGTAGGTTAAAGGCGCTGGTAAGGGGCGTCCTCGATTGTGGGAAATTGGTCCTTTCCTATTCTGCAGGTCTGGCAAGGCCCACCCGGCCCAGGTGTGAAACAGTCTTGCTGCTCTTCCTCCTCCTCCTCCTCCTCCTCCTCCTCCTCCACCTCCCCCTCCCCCTCCTCCTCCAAAGCTCCCAGGAGTTGCTGCTTTAAAAACAGGAGCTGCAGAAACATGGCCCAAAGCCAGGTGCTTAACGTGCATTATCTCCAGCTACAGCCAGAGTCAGAACTGCGTTCTCCAGGGCCCATCCACTCCTCCCCACCATCTCTGGGCTGGGTGGCCTCACCGGCTGACACAGGCCTCACCGCACAACAGGGGCTTCCAAACGAGGCTCCGAAACCTCAGAGTTGTGTCCCATGAGGACCAGAGACAGAAGACCCACTGGTCAAGGGACACCGATCTCCCACCCCTGGTAGGGAAGGGCTGAGGTGAGGCAAAAGGATGCACCTGGGACTTGGGGTGGGGAGCACTGAGTTCAGATTCAATCCCATTCTTAACACAGGTCTGGCGGGTGGGCAAGGCAGCTCATTAGCGCTACAAGGGATCTCAGATGACACGGTGTACAATCTCTCAAGGAGGCATCCTGAGAAGGGGTCGCCCGGCCTCTTGGGGACACATGAACTGTGTGAGGGAGCCATCAAGTGGGACAGCTGGCTAAAGATGCTATCAGTCATACCGGTGAGGGTCACTGCCATCACAGCAGCTGTTTATAGAGGACTTCCTTTGAGCCACTTACATTGGCACGTTTTCTAGTTTGTTCCCTTCTTTACTTTTTATCTCTCATTAGGATTTAAGCTTGGCTCACCCCCATCCCCAAATCCTCAGTGGCCACAGGGGACGGGTACAGAGGCTTGATCTGAGCCCCAAATCCATATACTCTGTGTACAGGGACTATGGAGGGTCAAGTCTCAGTGCGGATGGAACTCACTGCACATGCTCAATGAACACTGAGTGAATGAATGAATGAATGAATGAATGAGTGAATGATCAAGTGAATTTCCAGGGATACCGGTCTCCTTCATTCTGGTTAACAAAAAGGTGGCCTGCCCCAGCCACTCAGGGCCACTGGGCAGGTCACTAGAGACCATCCCTGAGGAAGGACATCTCAGAACTCACCTCACCTGCCTGGTGACAGAGAGGCAGGAAAGCACAGATCACAGAAATGGTGTGGTGCTGTGAACCCCCTACCTGCCAGGGCAGAATGCTGGGGCTGGAGAAGTCCTCAGATGTCCCGGCAACTCCAGGACCCTATCCGTCTAAGTTCTCTCAGCAGAGCTGACTGTGTAGGCATAGCCCTTGGGAGATAGCAGCCCGGGGACAGTTAGGAGGATGCGATGTGGGTTGCAAGCAGCCCCATGCCCTTCTGAGGTGAGGCAAGACCTCTGCATGGACACACAGGCTGGAAAGGGCCTGAGAAATCACTGATGATGCTCCCACTGTGCCCATTTATCAGTGAGAGAACTGAGGCTCGAAGAGGTTAAGAAATGGGTCCAAGATGACACAGACACAGCTGTTAGGTGACTGTGAACTCAGGGTTCTTTGTTGCTCTGAACTGCCGTCTGCCACCTCAGTCTCCCAATCTGGACAATGGGAAGTTGGACCAGATGGCCTCTAAGGTGTCTTAGATTTGAAGTGATTTTAGGGGAAGCCAAAAGCTCATCTCTGCTGGGGCTCATCTTGACCCCACTCCCCTGCTGTCCTCCCCAGCCCAGGACGTGGTCTGCTCCAATCAAGAAACAGGGAAGAGAGGGGGCCTCAGCACTGTCTTGCTGCATGGGGGGATTTTGGGGGGCAGGTGAGGGGATGAGGGGTGGATTTGGAGCAAATGGCGCCTGACCACCCTGCCCATCCACACCTCGGGACCGCCCGAATGCCACGGGAAGTTCACCCAGAGTTTACAAACCTCCTTTGTCACAGAGCCCTGCATGGAGCCATCAATCACGCCCTTAATTTACCCGTGTCACTTTCCAGAGGAAAGCCGCCCTGCCAGCAGCCAGTGGCGCTTCCTCTCTCACCCACTTGATGAGGATTTCATCTAATTGGTCCATGTTAAATCACTCCCAGGAATGCAACGTACAATTACTGCAGCAGTGGCTGGCGGTGAGGACGTGCCTGGCCCTCCTTGGTGGAGGCAGGAGAGTCTAGGGGGGGGGCCTCCCTGGCTCAGGGCCCAGAGGCCGCTGGGAGAACCCAGAGAGGAGCCTGATGGAAAGGGGGGCCGGAGGAGGAATGTCAGGGACAAGAGGGAGAGGCAGGTCAGGAAGGAGGGAGGATGCCAGCCACCGGGTTCCCCCACCTTCCCCATCCCTGGATGCCCAGGGGAGCCAGGCGTCTCTCACAGCTTCCACCCTCCTCATGGACACAGCCTGGGTCCCAGCCTCTGTGTCTCTTCCCCTAGCCTCCCAGGAACAGGCATCCAGAGGGTTGCCACAGCTTTGCCCGGCACTGCCTGGCACTGACCCCCAAATGGAAGGGCTGGAAGCACAGGCCATTCAGGGACCACAGCTGTGCCCACCACCTTTCCTCCTGCACATATTTCTCTAAACACACCGAGCTCTGTACAGGCTGTTCCCTTGGTCTCGGATGCTCTTCCATGTTTCATCTTCCTGGCGAACTCTTGGTTATCCTTCTGGTCCCAGATCAAATACCACTTACACTAAGATGCCCTTTCAAACCACGTTGGGCGGGAGAGGTAACCTGTCCCTCCTCTGCCTGGCCTTCCACGGCCCTCAGCAGAGACCTCCGAGACCACCCTGTACCATCCAGATCTACTGGCAGAAGGGTCACTCTGACCATGCTGTGAGCTTCATGGGGCCTGGGGCCACATGTCTGTCACTTTTATAGCCCCTGCCCAGCACGCTTTGTACGTGGGTGGGGTCGGCAAATCTCTCCACAATGAATAAATGAATTGCAAATATCACCCGCCTTTATATACGGCCTCAGGTAATCCACAGGCCAAGTCACACTCCCAAAACGTGCCAAAAGGCTCTCCTGGGCTGTCACCCTGCTCAGAGGATCTCATTCTAATATAAATTTATTAGGGGCCACGTGAGCAAACCAGCACCAGAATACGTAAAACCAGAAAGAGCTTCAGACACACCATCTTCCGCAGTAAGTGAGCAAATGAGCAAACCCAGGCCCAGAGGCCCAGGGTGACTGTCCAAGGTACCCACCAGGCCCATGACCAGTAGAGTCACCCCCATAATCCCAGGGGCGTGAGGAGCTCCGAAGGTGGAGCAACCCCCAGCAAACCTCTAAGAGGCTGATCTCGCTGGCCCCCTTAGAAGCCTCGGTGAGCGTGGGGTGCCCCGATTTCTCTTCCCACCTCTCCCGCCCCCCTCCAGAGGCTGCTGCCCGAGTGGCTGGCACATACCTTACGCTTCTTGGCACGTCCCTCGGCCTGCAGGGTGCGGGTGCAGCGCTGCACACACTCGGAGAAGCTGAGGTTGCTGTGGTCGGCACTGTAGTCAAGGTCAGCCAGCCGCGCCAGGGACAGGATGTAGTTACAGGCAATCCTCAGGATGGCCAGTTTGGACAGCTTCTGCCCATATGAGTAACACGGCACCTGTGGGTTGAGAAGGCATCAGGAGGGGCTGCCGGGGGTCTCTGTGCTGAGCTAGGCCTAGCAGGGCACCCTGGCCAGGCCGGCGTGGGGCCCCTCACAGTGACATCCCACCGCCTGAGAGGGGACGGCTGGGCAACAGAGGTGGCCTGTCTAATCTCCTAACGCAGAGTTTATTTTCGAAGCACCTGCTGTTTTCCACGCATACACCTCAACTCATCCATTCACAAACTCCGGGAGGCATCCACATTCCCACTTTGTAGTGGAAGAAACTGAGGCTCAGCTCATGCCCACGAGGCAATAGGAATGAATCATATGAGTTCCCGCCGTGACAGAGCTCTGTCCCCCACACTCCCTAAGGAGTCTCTCAGAGAGAACGGACACATTTGTCAGCTCCCACGTTCCATTCATTCACTAAGGCAGTGACACTTGTTTTGCTGGGCATTTGGGGGTCTAACTCTGAACAATAACTTGATTCCTGGCTTCGGAGAACTCATGCTCAAGAGTTATGTTACAATGTCATAATGGAATTAGGTACCCAGGGTCCTGGGTCAAACGCAAGTGCTTAGCTGGGAGGGCACACATATGCTTGGTTTTCTTTTTCTTTTCTCTTTTTCTTGATGCCCTCTGGACCCTAAGTGCTGCTGGGCATACAACAGGTACACAATAAATACAGCCCCAACCAGACATGCTTGTCAGTGACTCATCGCCAAGTACACACTCACTAATTGCACACGGGTGTGTACGGCGTGAAGCGATGGAGCCTCTACCTTTTTAACATTGTCCTGTGTGAGCAAAAGGCAACGCAGACTACAGCTGAGTTCTGCGCGGTGACGTGCAGGCGATACTACAAGGCCCATGTGACCGGTGCTAACCGGTACAGCCGACTGCCCCTCTGATGCACACCGTTCACCTAAATGGCTGAAACGTGCTGACCCAGCGACCAGGGCTCTGGTCTCCTCTGCCCTCTGGCTCTCCAGGATCTATACCCAGCATCCATCCCTACCACCGCCGCTGGTACTGATCAACCCCATGCCATAGACTGGGTCACCCCAGCACATCCATTCAGCAAGTATTTGGTGAGTATCCCCCATCTGCCAGGCACTGTTCTGGGCCAATTGTTCTCAACAGGGGATGATTCCGTCCCTCGGGGGACTGTTCGCAATGTCTGCAAGACACGCCTAACTGTCCATCTTGGGGAGCAATGGAGGGGAGGTGCAACTGGCTCCCACTGGGGAGAGGCCAGGGTTGCTGCTAAACAGTGCACAGGGGCCTAAAAGGCCCCCACCACACAGAATTGCCTGGCCCAAACTGTCACTGGTGCAGAGATGGAGAAAGCATGAAGAAGACAGTCACTCAGATGGGGACTCTAAATGCATCATCTATTTTGATCTCACTTGAAACCTCACCTTGCCCAGGAGCTCTCTCTGACCTTCCCCACCCAACCCTAAGCCAGGGGGCAAGGGGCAGAGTGCAGGAGGGGGCACCTGCCCTTAACAGTGCTCTAGTAGCCCCCCAACTGTCCTTAATTCACAATCATCGCAACTAATTTAATGGCCCGTCTTCCTGTGAGCCGTTGGAGGAAGGGCCATGTCTGCAGGACCTAGCACAGGCCAAGGCCATAAACAAGGGCATTTGTTGAATGAGGGAATGAATGAATACATAAATGACTGATCTACCTCCATGTTCCCCAGGTGTCTCCAGAATGTTTAGAAATGGGTTCAAAACCCTTCCCTCTCTCGGAGGATGAAGATTAGCTATTGAGGGTAGAGCTGAAGCACACGTACCTTTTGGTCATCTGGGTTCAACTCCTGACTCTAGCTCTCACCAGGGTGAGTGACCTCACCTTTCCAAGCCTGGGTTTCCTCTTCAGATGCTCCCGGGACTGCCCTTGCAGCACGGTAGGGTTAAGTGAGATGACGGATACATTCCACAGAGGAAGGCCTGATACGAGTCGGTGAGTTATTACTGCAGAACGTCTCCAAAGAGGGGCCCCAGAGCAGGTGAGGAGCAAGAGGCCGGAAGCCAGGACACAATGCCGGCTCATCGCCCCGCTCCCCCACTACTTGGGGTCCTGAAATGGCACCCACGTCAGAGGTGAGGTTTGCTGTCTCCTTTTGAAATCCTCCAGCAGCCAAGGAGTTGCCCCTCACCAAGCTGGGAAACTGAAGGAGGACCCGCTTGGTGACAGACAGCATGCCAACTCCTGTGCGCTCCCCCTTCCCACCTCCCATGCCCAGCCCTGGCTGCGGCTCCAAACCCATCCAAGAAAAGCCAAGAAAGGCCAGCAGAACAATGCACTTTGCCTGTTCCCAGCCAGAGTCCAGAGAATCCTGCTTTATCAGCCTGAACAAATAAACAAGGTCTGTGGGACAGAAGGGATCCTGGGAGGCAGGGAAGGGGGGATCTCAAAAGCCAGACCAGCACCTCTGGCTCCTCTGCACCCCAGGAGGGAGTGCCTATCTGGCAGAGGCCCTCGGGCACTGAGCGCAGCTCTGTGACACAGGTCCCTGCTGCTGTTTTCACCCAGGAGCCACGCCGGGAGTTACCCAGCTCACTGAGCTCTTGGCCCCTGAACAGAGGGGCTTTCCTGCCAGTGGGGAGTAGGGATCTCAGGAAGGAGCCGCATGTGGGGATCCAGGGTCACTGCAGGATTACAGAGCAACAGATGAGGTCAAGGCCAACCTAGGGGCTCCTGTGCCAGGCTTGGGGCCAGTTTTGTCACTCTGTCCCATTGCTTCTTTCAAAATCCACATCTGACAAGGAAACTATCCATCAAGCTCTAGTTGTATATCTGGTACTATGGGAGCAATTCACAGGCCGTTTGTCCCCCCTTTAAAACCCTCCCCCAAATAAAGATGGTTATCCCATCTGCACATGAGGAAACAGAAAAGTGACGTATTGGACCACAGTTCACTCAGCTAAGAGCTTAAGCTAAGCCAGCAGCTTATCTATCTAGTACCCACGGATGGTACATGGCCACTGAGCTCCCCAGGATCCCTCCACCACAGGTGGCTATATATGGGACACCAAGGGCACCTTTTGGACAGTTCACTCCTCCTCCTCCTCCCCTCCCCTGGAGGGAGGTGTTCCTCAGCCCACTGGTTAATTCCAGACCCTCCTGGAATTTTTAAGCCCCAGAGCCCCGTTCAGAAGCACCCTGGCCTGGCCTGGCTCCTACAAAGTAAGAATCTAGCAGCAGGTCCTAGTTCTGGAAGGTGGAGGTAGGGTGGAAAGAGCTGGTCTGAATCACAGACACTTATCAGTAGTGTGACTCTGGACAAGTGCCTTCACCTCTCTGAGCCTCAGTTCCCTCACCCGGAGAGTGGGGATGACAATGCCTGGGGACTCCACATATTGTGGGGACTGGGCCACCTCTTGCTGTTTACTGTGATCTACTAAGGGTATTTTTGATACAGTGCCTATATTTATCTTTAAACTTTATTTATCTATAGTTTTAATACAATGCCTATATTTATGTTTAAAAAGTGAGGTAGAAATGATCACTTCCACTTTACAGAGAAGCATTTGATGCCTCAGCTGGGCTCCTTCCAATGAGCTGGAAGCAACTGCTTGAGGATTTGGATGAGCCTTTACAGCCAAAGGTCAGGGCACCGGCAGCCTGCCCTTCTGAGCTGGGGATGGAGAGTTCTGGACTGATAATCCCATGGGACCTTAGCCTTTGTGCATTACCAGCGACCCCACCACCTGCAGGGGAACCCCTCAGCAGCTGTCTGTGACCCTGGTCAGAGGACACAGGGCACAGGAGACAGCAAGGTCACTTGGCTTCAATTCCTGACAGATTGCCCAACTTCCAGCAAAGTAAGGGACCTGCCCCGTGCTCACCCCATCAGGATTTTCAAGCTTCAGAGGACCAGGGGTGGGGATTTTCACAAGGTCCCCTATGCCCCCGCAAACATTCCATCCCACCTACCCCAAGCCAGACTCTCTCCTGGCTCTGGAAAGCAGGAGACGGTGGGAGGGGCACTGGCCTGGGAGCCTGAGGACCTGGCTCTATTCCTGGCCATCCAATGTGACCTTAGGTAGTTCCATAACCGTAAAGGACCTCAGTTTCCTCACCAACAAAATGATCATCAGAATACCCACTACCTCACAGTGGGAGCCCAGCAGGCAAATATAGGAAGTTGCTACAGAGAAACAAAGTCCAGAACCTACCAGCCCTTGCGGGAAAGTCCTCAAAGCCCTCCCCCTCTTCAGACCCAGCCCAGGATTCCCTCCTGGTAGCCCATCGGGACTCCCGGACCCACCGAGCTCCAATATCACCATGTCATGGCACACAGCTGAGCCCCTGACTGCATTTGAAACTATTCTCTAATCGCTCAGTGGGTGCTGGCTGCCTGGGGTGAAGCCACTTGGTGCAGGGCCGTGCGAGGTCCTTGTCAAGTTCTACCGAAATAGGTTCTCAAAAATCCCCTTTCCACACAGCCGTGAGGCTGGACCCTGAGAACCTGGCTCTTAGTAGTTAAGAGCCATGACCCCAGGGCAAGACAGACCTGGGTACAAGTCCTGGTCACTCGCTTAACTTCTCTGTAAGTGTTCTCATCTGTAAAATGGGAAGGTGACAGCAGAGATGTGCAACAGGCTCAGGTAAGGCACTTCACCCAGTGCAATGAGGCTCAATAAACAGCCACTCTGGTGGCTGTGGTCATGAGGGGGCACAGTAAAGCCCTCTGTCACCCCTCAACCATGTGGATGGAGTCCCCAAAGCTGGCCTGCCCCCCATTCCCTGAGGAGGTACGCACTGGCTGCTGTGGGGTCACAGCCCCCGGCATCCTATGGGGTAGGGGCTAAGGGAGGTATAGGGCTGGGGGCACCATCCCAATGCCCCCTCATGGTCCACCCTGAGTTCACTCGGTGAGGATCCCCTGGGAGACAGCAGGGTAGGGGCCCCAGGCCCAACTTGCTTGGCCCCCCGCTCATGAAGAGGTACCTCAGCAGGCCCTGAGGGCTCCTCACCACCACCCCAGGCCTCGGCCCTGTCAGGTTACCGTTCCTCCATCGAGGCTGAGGGGCTTTTGAGGGGAGAGAGGAAATCTGCACTCACACCAGATGTCCCAGTGTTCTGCCAGGAGGCTGAGGCCAGAACTCGGGCCTCTCCCCTCACTCACCCAGCAAGGCCAGGCTTTCCTTCTGACCCCCTCCCACCTGGCCCCAAGCAGCCCTGCACACGGGCCAGGCCCAGCTGTGCACACATGGCCTTCACATGAGGCGGCAGGGAGGGCCCTACGCAGCTGGGCTGGTGGCATGTGCTGTGGCCTGACCATCTGCCCCGCACACCCCCCCACCAAGACCAGAGGGCCTCTCCCCACCTGCACTTCCTTGGCCAAGCAGCTGCCCCCACTTCCCCTTCTGGTTAAGAGCAGAGTGCGTTGGACCAAACAGGAGGCTTCCTGGTGCTGAGGGTGGACAGCTCCGGGGCATTCAAAAGCCTGAGAAGCAGAGCTCTTAAAAGCCTGGGCACCGGAGTGACTCACTGACTCTGATCTGAATCCCGGCCCTACAGTGACAGTGGAACACAGCTACACAGGCTGTGCCTACACCATGCCAAGAAGGCACCAACACACACAAATCTAAAGACTGTTCGCCAAGGAGATGTGCAGTACAAAACCCGCAAGGCCCCACGTGGTGGCAAAAGGCTGCGACCTCGGCCAACTCACATAAGCTCTCTGAACCTCAGTTTCACGATCTGTGAAATGGGGAGAGGATAATATACCTATTTCATTACACGAACTAACACACATAATATGCTTAGCCTGGTGCTCTACCCAAAGCAAACATATGATAAATGGTAGCTTCTATCATTGCTATTAAAATGATTATAGGGGTATCTGGTGGCTCAGTGGGTTAAGTGTCTGACTTCGGCTCAGGTCATGATCCTGTGGTTCGTGAGTTTGAGCCCCACATCAGGCTCTGTGCTGACAGCTCAGAGCCTGGAGCCTGCTTCAGATTCTGTGTCTCCCTCTCTCTCTCTGCCCCTCCCCC